CCCCCCTCAGGTGGGGCTGGTCTGCCCGCCCTCCCTGCTGGGGATGAGCCCTCCGGCCCTGGGGAAGGACGGGGAGGGCGAAACGGGGGGGACCCCCGTTTCGCCCTCCCCGTCCTTCCCCAGGGCCGGAGGGCTCATCCCTGTCACCCTGCCCAGGCCCGAGTAGGGGGGTGGACAGGTGCCTCCCTAGCTGTTCATGGTGGAGAGACGCCTCTGGGGATCTCCTGGGCCCCTGGTGCTTAACCATTAGTGCTGGGGCTTCTTGGAGCTCGGTCACCTGCCTGTCATTTCCCCCCGCGACCTGCTCCCCAGGCCGGTCCCTCTCCCCAGCTCTCCTCGGGTCTCTGTGCCCCCAGGTGATGGATCCCTGCGGTTTGCCTTCATGCCTGCTGGCTGTGGAGCTACAGGCAGGTCTTAATTTTCACCGTGCTGATGCAGCTAGACAAGACCTGAATCCTTAACGGCAGGGGGGGGGGGGTGTGGCAGTAAGGCACTGGTTATCTCTCAGTAATCTCTCACCAGTGTGAGGCAGAGATGCCAGCAGAGGATAACGGGGGCCTGTCTGGGCCCGTCTTGCCTTCAAGTGGGAGATTAAGCACCTTGCTGCCCACACAGAGTGTGGCTCCCTCACCGCTGGCTCTCCACGTCTGTCTGTCTGATGTGAGCATGTAACAAAGGGCTCAGGTCTTGGCCGTGGTGTAGTAGTTTGATGGTGATCTAAGAGCTGCCCTGTTTAACTGCAGAAAAAGGCTCCTAGGCAAAAATGCTGCGGGTCTTGCCCTGCTATAAAAGGCTGAGGAACTGTGTTGTGGGACCTCAGGCCTGGGAGGTGTTTGGTGGAGAGAGCTCAGAGGCCACTGGCATGAGTGGGGATCTCTGGGCAGGGGCTGTGGATGGGGGTGTCCTCAGGCCCCCACTCGGGAGAGGCATCCTGAGTGCTGGTGCATCCCTGCCTGCTGCCGGTGGCACGGCTCGAAGGTGAGACAGCCTGCGTCACATGCCAGGGCATGGTGACCACCTCGGCTCTCACCCTGCTAGCATTTCGTACCAAATCTACAGAGGCTCCTCGGACCTGGGGGAGCTGCACTGAGCAGAGGGAAAGCTGCAAGTGTGCCTCTTGGCCCCACCAGCTGTGGCAGAGCCCACCCAAGGCTGCCAGCTTTGGAGCAGTGAATCCACCTTCAAGGAGGAAAGGGAAATGACGTGTTTCCTTCCTCTTTGGCCTGTCCATGCCAGGAAGGACCAGTTTTGTCTAGGAGCCCTTGAGCTGCAAGGGTCATGTCACTCACTTTCTTCTGCCCGATGTTGTCACCTGAAAAGAGCCTTTGCTAGATCACAGTACCCTGCATGTCTTGAAGGCACAGCTGGGGTGTGTTTAGGATGGGGACAGAGGTGCTGGGTTTGGGCAACAAGTACCAGAGACTGAGTTGCCATCCACAGGGCATGGGGTGGGGGTCTGGATGCTCCTGGCAGCAGCGACAGCTCTTGTTCTGCCTGCTCCAGCCTGGCCAGCGCATGCCTGCGTCTGGCCTCATCCCTGACCTGCTCTGGCAGTGTCTCCAGCAGAGCCAGGCCAGGAAACAGCCTGCCGACATGAGTGTTTGCAAACACGAGCAGAGCTCAAAGGACTGAGTTTCCTGTCCCTGTTCCTGTCTGAGCTGTGTCGGGGAGCATGTGGAGCTGTGCTCTTCCACCAGCCATGCTGGCTGTCCTGGAGCCAGGTGTGCAGGAGAGCTGGTGCTGGGGGCCTGGGAGACCTGGGTTATGGGGATGGAGGGATCCTTGGGATAGGGAGGAATTTGGAGCTGGGCTTTACCAGGCTGGAGGTGAGGGGCTGAGCTAGCCCTGCCTGGTATCGCCCTGGTGCCTGCCAAACACCTGCATAGGGTCTCCTACCATGACTCCACTCCCACATCTGTGAATTGACTTTATCCTGTATCTCATGCTGCTGGGGTGCGGCTGTGCCCCTGGCTGGTGGGTAGGATGTGGCTCCCCAAGTGGGAATGGCTGGGCTCTCAGCTGGCACTAAGCAGTTCTGTGCTGGTGGCTTAATTGGAGGCCATCTCCAAGGTTCGATAAAGCTACATCTGTGGGAGCTCAGGGCTGCTGGGTTATGTCCTCGCTGCCATGAGGAATGATGACTCAGGGACCTCATCCAGGAAACTGGGGGCTGCTAACTCATCCCACACCCATGGGTTAGTTATCACCGAGTCCAGTGTACATGGGTTGATGACCGTGGTTTCTCTCTCTGCAGGCCACGATGCTGCGTCTGGCTGCTTTTGCAGCACTGCTGCTGTTCTTCAGGGTCAGCCTGGAGCTGTCCTGGGCTCAGGCCATCCCTGCTCTCTTCATCTTCTACCTGGGATCTGGCGGATGGGACTTCTTCCTCATATTCATCAAGACAATACGAAGGGACGTCACGTAGGTGTCCTGGCTGGGATGGCCCAACCATCCACCCTCCCCTTGGCCCACTGCTATGCCCTGGTGTGTGTGAGCGCAGCCCCCAGCTCCTTGCATAGCCCTGGGTTTCTACTGGCACCCGGCCCGGCTGGAAGGAGATCTCCCTCTGCCGCGCCCGGGTGGCTCCAAACTCTCGGGCAAAGTTTTCACGGGAAAGATAGATTTCAGCTGAGCTCTGAAGTCCAGTGACTGTCCTTGTACTTCAACCTGTCCCTGAAGCTGCTGGCGTGGCACCAGGTGCCTGTGCAGGGTTGGTTCTGAGTTGGTACCAGGCTGTGCCAGCTCCTGGCAAGAATTTGTGGGGAGGGAGCGGTGGCACCTCTTGGAGAGCACCTGAGGCTCAAAAATGTCCTTTTGATCAGGGGACATCCCTGTTTGCAGCCTCCCAAAACCTATCTCTCCCTGACCTCCATCAGTTCCTGGCTGTAAACGTCTTTGCAAAGAACCTCTGCCTGTGTCCATGTGGCTCAGGGGAGCACCCAGAGCTGCTGCTGACCTAGAGTAGGGCCTGGAGTCGTGCTAGGCTATTGCAGCTCCTAGCAAGGTCCTCGTGCTGTGCTCGCTGTGCTGGAGGAAGTGGTTATGCAGGGGTCACTGAGCAGCTGCCCTCTTGTTCCCCTTCCTTTGGCAGCACGGGGCTGGTCCTGTTGCGGGTGAAGTGGCAGGTATGGAGGCATGTGAGGGAGAAGAACACAATTGCCAAGATCTTCCAGAAGACTGCGAGCAAGTATCCAGAGAAGACAGCTCTGATCTTCCAAGGCACAGGCGAGAGCTGGACCTTCCGGCAGCTGGATGAGTACTCCAACAGGGTGGCCAATTTTTTCCATGGCCAAGGCTTCCGCTCTGGTGACGTGGTTGCTCTTTTCATGGAGTCCCGCAATCAGTACGTGGGGCTGTGGCTTGGCTTGGCCAAGATTGGGGTGGAGACTGCCCTCGTGAATTCCCACCTGCGCATGGAGGCCTTACTGCACTGCATCACTATCTCCAACTCCAAGGCTGTGGTTTTTGGGGTAGAGATGATGGAAGGTGAGGGGCAGACAGATCCATCAGGGGTTCTCTGGACTCGGGGTGGGGAGAGGGGCACGTGTCTATGGATTTAGTGCTCCTTTCCTGCCCAGAACAGGGCAGGGATCTGGAAGAGAGTGGAAAGTTGAATTATCCAGGAATTGGATCTGGGGTTTTTTTCTTGTTGGTCTCTGGCCACTGGGCAGGATCTGGAGTTCAGTGCTGTCTGGCTCCCAAGCAGGCCAGCCTGGGTGTGAGGATCCTTCCTTGTGCCACTTGGGTCTGTCCCCTGCGTGGAGCCCTGGGCTGGGCTGTCCCGCTGCACAGGATGAGCCACCCCTTGCTGTCTGTGGCTGTTAGCCACATTCCTGCAGCTCCTCAGCTCCAGCTCCTCATGTGTTTCAGCCCACGCCTCTGGGGTTGATGGTGTCAACAGACCTCTTGGCACCAAAGAGGTTTTGGCTGGGGAGAGGTGAAGAACAGGATCTTCTGGTCCCTGAAGAAGCCTGGGCTGTGGCCCCAGCATCTGTTAATCATGGGAGCAACATCTGCCTGGGATGGTTGTCAGCCCTTTGGGGGCTCTGCCGAGCACAGTGAGGGTACTGCTACCTGGAGCAGTGTCTTCTGGAAGGGTAGGGGATCTCTGTGCTGTAACCACCCTGCGGTCTTTCTCCATCTCCCCTCTTTACTTTCTCAGCAATGCAGGAAGTGCAGCCCTCCCTGAAGAAGTCTATCCATCTCTTCTGGTCCGGGGAAGGAAGTCCCGAGTCTGTGCTTCCTGGTGCAAAACACCTGGACCCCCTGTTGCAAACGGCCCAGCAGCACCAGCCAACCCCTCCTGATAAGGGATTTCTTGGTACGTGGTCAGCTCTTGGGGGCCAAACTCGCGGTGGTGTTTCTGTGGATCAGCTGGTTACAACACTGGCAAGAATGTCTGCTCAGGATGCCAATGGCAGATGTCTGCAGCAGGGCCTGGGGTGTTTGGGGTGGGTGCTACGCCGGGGTCTGAAGCCTGGCCCTGTGTGGAGCAGTATCCTGTTGTGCCCTCCATGTGTCCAACAGACCTGATCTGACCAGGGTGAAGCCAGCGTGTTCTTAGTGCTGTCACATAACAAAGTTTTGTCTCAACTAGCACGAGCAGAGTGTATAAATTTGTCTTGTCCCTGTCTCCCAGTTCAGCCAGCAGGTATGTAACATTGTCTCCTCATTGCTCTCCAGATAAACTCTTCTACATCTACACCTCTGGCACAACAGGGCTGCCCAAGGCTGCCATTGTGGTGAACTGCCGGTAAGTCTGTGGGCAAGGGCTCAGGGGAGGATGGAGCTGAGCTCTGCCCTGTCCTTTCACAACGCCTCTGGCCCTGCTGCTGACGTGTCCCTTTATCCTCCTGCCCCAGGTACTTCCGCATGTCCAGCTTAGTTTTTTACGGTTTTCGCATGAGGCCCGATGATGTGATGTACGACTGTCTCCCGCTCTACCATGCTGCAGGTAACGTGTGCCATGCGGAGCCCTGCATGCCGGGACTGTCTCTTCCCCTCAGCCATGCCCAGGGTTCAGGTTGGAGGCTGGCGCGGCAGTGATCCCCATGTTGAGGAGGAGCTGGCTGCTGCTGGCAGCGTCTGACAGAGGCTTTCTGCTTTTTCCGTGGGAGGCAAAAATCGATCTGGCTGACCTTTGGAGTGGGGAGTGTGTATGGAGGGGGGGGTTTATCCCAGCTCCTAGCCTGGCTTTGGCATAGCTGCACCTTAGTGCTGCTCCATGCAGAAAGTCAGAGGGAAGGGGAAGCAATGCCCACCTGACTGGTTGAGACACGCTGGGATGTCTAGGTGTAAAGTGCTGCCTCAGATCTCACTGCCATGTGTCTCCTCCCTGGTGCCTGTGGTCCTGGGGGCTTTTGCTAGGTGAACACCCACCTGCGGTGAGCCAGCATGTGGCCTCCACCTTGCCCTGCCACGCTTCTTCCTGAGCGGGCTGGGCTGGAGGTGTCTGGGGACTGAGGGCTCCCCTGGCTGCCTCTCCGCAGGGAACATCGTGGGGGTCGGGCAGTGCCTGCTGCAGGGCATGACGATTGTCATCCGCAAGAAGTTCTCGGCCTCGCACTTTTGGGAGGACTGCGTGAAATACAACTGCACGGTGAGGCCATGAGGCAAGGAGCCAGCTGGGACTGGGGAGTAGAGCCTGGGGATCTGTGCCGTGCTGGGGAGAGCCCAGCTGCTAGAAGAGGGGGAGGCCTGGACCGGTTCTGCCTGTCCATCCCAAACCACCTTCCAAGGTGGTGGGGCTGTGTCCTTCCCACCTGGGGTGGTAATGCCACGTGTCCAAACCCTTCCCATGCTCCAGCATTAGCCAGGAGGTCTCAGATAGGTTTCACAGACTGGAGGAGTGGGTTAACCGTGAAGGGACAGGCACTAGATGAGCTAGTAGGACTCCTGGGTTTTACCACAGCCTCTTTAGGGGACTTTGGGTGTGTTGTGCCATTTCTACCTGCCCTGAAGAAATCCCAAACACCCCAGGGCCTGGTGGAGGGATCCTAGTGAGTCTTTCCTCTCTGTCCCTCCCAGATTGTGCAGTACAGAAAAAAAAACCCCCCAGCCATGCCAGGAGGTGGAGCGGCAGCACCGGGTGCGCATGGCGCTGGGCAACGGGCTGCGTGCCTCCATCTGGCGGGAGTTTATGGCCCGCTTTGGCATCGCCCAGGTGGCTGAGTTCTATGGGGCCACTGAGTGCAACTGCAGCCTGGGAAACTTTGACAACAACGTAAGGCCCCACCACCCTCCCCATGTCCCAAAGGGTGCCTGCTGGCCTGGGCAGGGTTGGAAACCCAGACAGGCTGTTTGCTCCTGGTTTCTTGCTCCAAGAGACTTTGTGTGGGTTGCCATCCACCCAGAAGGGTTTTGGCTGTTGTGTGGTGCCAGCTCTCCCCTATCCTAGATTTGCGTGGGCAGCAGGCTCAGGGTGAGAGAGATGTCCCTGCTACCCCAGGCTCTGAGCTCTTTCTGTCCTAGGTTGGGTCATGTGGCTTCAACAGTAGGATCCTACCAGGTGTGTACCCCATTGGTTTGGTAAGGGTGGATGAAGACACCATGGAGCTGATCCGGGGGCCAGATGGTGTCTGTATCCGCTGCAAACCAGGTGAGGGCAACCACAGGGATAAGTCTCCTCAGCCCCGTGCAAGTCTTTCCCGATATTTCAAGATAATTTACCTAGGTTTGAGTCTCTGCTCGTTTAAATGCCGCCAACTCCATTAGACACCCTTTTTGTGTGGGTGCAAATGGTTGCTTCCCCCCTTGATCCCCTTTTTTCTCCCTGCAGGGGAGCCAGGGCAGCTGGTAGGCCGTATTGTCAAGAGCAACCCCTTGCAGCACTTTGACGGCTACCTGAATCAGTCAGCCACCAACAAGAAAATCGCCAGGGATGTGTTTACAAAAGGGGATGCTGCCTATCTCACAGGTGAGGCGAGCAGAGCCCTTCCATCTGCTGAGAGCGGAGAAGGGTACCTGTGTGGGCATGGGGGTGTCCCAGGCTAGTGGCACTGCCCTGAGATGCTCCAGGGTTGCTCCTAACACCTCCTCTGACACCTCATTTTTTGTCTATTCCTCACTTTTCTATAGGGGATGTCCTAGTGATGGACAAATACGGCTACATGTACTTCCGGGACCGCACTGGGGACACATTCCGCTGGAAGGGGGAGAATGTCTCCACCACAGAGGTGGAGGGGACGCTGAGCCGCATCCTCAACCTGACAGACGTGGTGGTTTATGGGGTGGAGATCCCAGGTAGCTGAGAGGGAAAGGATGATCAGGGGAGGCAGGTGGGCCTCCGGCACTTGAATGTGAGGGTGTCCTGCACGTCCAGATCGACATGTCCTTTTGCAAGAGGCTGGACTGAGGCTCCCCATAAGCGAGCTGGGAAGAGGCCACCAGGGATGTGCCTAGTGGGAACCAGAGGGTTCCCTCCCTCCCTCTTACCCTTCTTCTCTCCCTCCTTCCCTTCTTCAAGTTTTGGTCTGGTTTTGGCTGGTTTGGAAGGACCCTGCGTCCTTTCTGGACAGGCTGCAAGTGCCTTCTCTGGGAGGAGGTGACCGTGACCGCAGGGTGTCGCTGGTAGCCTTAGCTGCAGGGTGGTGACACAGCCAGTGACACAGCTGGACGCACCAGCGCTTGGGTACAAAGCGGGATCTGTGCCAGAGGCTTTGGTGGTGCGGGGCAGAGGGAGATGATGCTACAGGGACAGTGTGTCTGAGTGCTCTCCCTTCTTCTCTGTCTCTTAGGGATTGAAGGGAAGGCAGGAATGGCAGCCATCGCCGACCCGGAAAACTCCTGTGACCTAGAAGGCTTTGCCAGTGAGCTAAAAAAGGCCCTGCCACTGTACGCACGGCCCGTCTTCCTGCGGTTCCTGCACGAAGTCTCCAAGACAAGTGAGCTGTAGCGTGCAGGCTTGCACTGGGCATGGAGCTGTGGGGGGGAACCTAGTTACAGAGGCTGATCTGCGGTAGGGTCAGGATGGAGCCCCTCTGCCCCATAGAGCCCCTAGCCAGTTCCTCTGGTGGTTTGGAGGTGTGGGGGTGTGAGGCTGTGTCTGGGGCAGCACAGGGGTGGTGGGAATGGGAGCATGTGCAGCTGGTGACCCCTCATTCCTTCTCTCCCCACTCCAGGCACTTACAAGTTCCAGAAGATGGAGCTGCGGAAGCAGGGCTTTGACCCTTCGCTGGTGAAGGACAGGTTGTACTTCCTGGACTCCAGGCAAGGCCGCTACCTGCAGCTGGACCAGGCAGCGTTCGGCAGGATCCAGTCAGGACAGCAGAAACTGTAACTGGTGGGGCTCAAGCAAGGCACCTCCCTGAAACCTGCTGGGGAGAGGGGGGCAAGGCAGGCACTGGGGAGGAAAAGGTTCAAGGAGTGATATAAAGGCACACTAGAGATTTTATTTGACAAGTTTTACAGATAATGGTTTGGGGGGAACACAGAGGGGACCAAGGGGAGGGGGATGGTTACATACCAAAGCATAGACTCATTATGGCTTTATTTTCTATTTGGTACAGCGGTGGTGGTCCCATGCCATGGGAGGGGCAGGGCCCCGGCCAGTTGAGGAGGGGTGGGGTGCCTCTGCCATTCCACTTTGCTTTTCCTATCTTTCCCTCCCTTTTCCTGCCTGCAGCAACCCTTCCTTGTGAAGGCCATTGAAGGGACCAGTGCTGGGCTCTTTCCCCACTCCTCCACCAAGCAGCCAGCTCCTCCTTGGCACAGGGCCCCCGCTGGCAGAGGGAAGCTGGGTACCAGGCGCAACCCCTGCCCCCTGCGTGGCCCTGCTGGTGTGTTTCTGCTGTGAATCAGGGGAGCAGGGTAGTGCTGGGCTCAGGAGAGGGCCAGGGATGTGTTTCTGCCATGCCTTGCTGTCTCCTGGGATGACATTTCTATTTTTCACAATCACACGCACATTATATATATTATATTATATATATATATATTATACACGCTGACTTTTTTTTTTTTCAATCTTAATTTATTGTCTGTACTTTTGAATGTGTCCCGGGTTTGTGCAGTAGGTGGAGGAGCAGCCCAGACCTTTCCTCTCTTGGAGAGTCCTTTTCTCTCGCAGGGAGATGGGACACTCATCTGGGACTGATTCTCTTCTTCCAGCGTGGGTGCAGCTGTGCATGTCCTTGTGGCCTTGCTCCATGGTGAAGGACATGAGTGAATCCCACTATCTTGTGGACACTTCTCTGGGTCTCTTTATTCCCCCTTTCGTGGATGCAGCCTTGTTTCGTGCGCCTTCTTCCTTGCAGAAAGCAGGTGGGAGAGTGGGAATGAAGGGCCTGGTTTGCCTTTGCTTGGACGTACTCAACACCACAGAGCAGCTCTTGGGAGTTTCCTGCTGCGATGTCTGTGCTCTGAATACAGGAGGCAACTTGCTTAGGGGAGAGAAGGTCCTCTGGAGGGTGGTCTCTGTGAGAACTTGACTTCATGTGCTCTGCATCCCTTCCCGCAAGAGCCCTCCCTGGTTCTACTGCAGGAGATGGGCCCCAAACTGAAATGTCCATGTTAAACACCTGACTTGCGCTACGTGAATTCCCTGCATTGTGTCTGATGTGAAACAGCCTTAGCAGCGATGTCTGATTCCAGTCCTCGGAGACCATACAGAAAACGTCTGTTCCAGAGAAAACTCTGGGTTGGGGTTTATTCTTTGTTTTTTTTTTATGATTTGTTTTTATGCTTTTAGCAGGGTTACTCCTTAAAATGACATCTGTCTTTTGTGAGGGCAGGGTCTGTCTGCTCTTCTAGCTGTGCTTCCACACCAACGTACCTGCCTGCCCCAGTCTGTCCTTTCCTCACAATTAAATGCGAGTATGGGCTATGCTGGAGTTTCCTTCCTCTTCCTTGCGCAGTGCTGCTCTGTGTGGGGAGGTGGGGGACTGTGCCAGTTTGGGAACTGCCACTCCAGAGCATGACCTCCCTGTGCAGACTTTAGCTCCTCTCGGAGCAGGGGGAAGCAAGCTCCTTCCAGCTGGGTTTGATGACTGTGTGAAAACAACCTGTTGATGAGACCCTCCCCAGACCCCTCCACTGACTCCCCATTCCCCCTTTCTCCCGGTCCTGTTAGTGTTGCCCATCCCAGTTTGTCCTGGCCCAGTTCTCCCTGTTTACCCTGGCACATCTGGCTCCTCTGCCCCCCTCCTGTTCCTTCTTTCCTCTTCCTGCTGCTTTAGCACGCTTAACCTCCCAGCTCATTTCTGTCCTTGAAACGAGTACTTTTTGGTACCCATTCTCCTTCCCTCACTGCCAGAAACATTTTTTAGACCCTCAGCATCCAGCCCTGGGGCCAGGAGAAACCGGCCCCTTCATGGTATGCAGGTACCAAACAGAAATGTCTTGTGTGACCGTGGATGACATGTATTGCCTGGCGAGCACTGTGGGAAAAGTGCTGGAAATTTGCTTCCGTTATATACCAGATGCACCTTCAGGCATGCTCAAACTGATGGTTTCTCCAGCATCTCAAATGAAAATTAAAGCTTTTAGCTTATTCGATCCCCTGAACACAGTGACCCTGGGAAGGCCCAGCTTGGAGCTGCATCTGGCCTCCGCAGCCAGCTCCAGGAGGGGACTGGGACGGGCGAGTGCGGGGTGGCAGAGCACTGTGGTCCAACGCTGCTCCTGGAAGGGTGCACCTCCTGGCACAGCGGGTGCAGGGTGTGCAGCGATGGCTGCCACCTCTGCAGATGCTCCGGTCCCACTTTTGGATGCTGTTCCACTCGCAGCCACCGGTGGAGGGCGGGCTGGGCTTGGCAAACATCTCGCCTGAGGGGGGGACCTCTTGAGGGGCTCCTCTGGGGTCTCACAGCCTCCCTCCCCATGGGGGTTCAGAGCCCTGGGAAGCAGTGAGGGGGCACGGGGTGCTGGGAGCAGGGATGTTACCCACGCAGGTGACAGGTCAGACCCTGGCTGAGGTGGAGAGGAACTTTGGGGTATAGACGATGGTGCTGGGTGTGAGGCAGCAATCCCAGGTGCTGGTGTTTCCCTCCACTCTGGCTCCTGACCGGAGTGTGTGCTGGCGGAGATTTTGGCAGCATTGAGGTCACCCTGTTGTGCCAGGTGGGTGGGCTAAAAAAGGCCCTGCCACTGTACGCACGGCCCGTCTTCCTGCGGTTCCTGCACGAAGTCTCCAAGACAAGTGAGCTGTAGCGTGCAGGCTTGCACTGGGCATGGAGCTGTGGGGGGGAACCTAGTTACAGAGGCTGATCTGCGGTAGGGTCAGGATGGAGCCCCTCTGCCCCATAGAGCCCCTAGCCAGTTCCTCTGGTGGTTTGGAGGTGTGGGGGTGTGAGGCTGTGTCTGGGGCAGCACAGGGGTGGTGGGAATGGGAGCATGTGCAGCTGGTGACCCCTCATTCCTTCTCTCCCCACTCCAGGCACTTACAAGTTCCAGAAGATGGAGCTGCGGAAGCAGGGCTTTGACCCTTCGCTGGTGAAGGACAGGTTGTACTTCCTGGACTCCAGGCAAGGCCGCTACCTGCAGCTGGACCAGGCAGCGTTCGGCAGGATCCAGTCAGGACAGCAGAAACTGTAACTGGTGGGGCTCAAGCAAGGCACCTCCCTGAAACCTGCTGGGGAGAGGGGGGCAAGGCAGGCACTGGGGAGGAAAAGGTTCAAGGAGTGATATAAAGGCACACTAGAGATTTTATTTGACAAGTTTTACAGATAATGGTTTGGGGGGAACACAGAGGGGACCAAGGGGAGGGGGATGGTTACATACCAAAGCATAGACTCATTATGGCTTTATTTTCTATTTGGTACAGCGGTGGTGGTCCCATGCCATGGGAGGGGCAGGGCCCCGGCCAGTTGAGGAGGGGTGGGGTGCCTCTGCCATTCCACTTTGCTTTTCCTATCTTTCCCTCCCTTTTCCTGCCTGCAGCAACCCTTCCTTGTGAAGGCCATTGAAGGGACCAGTGCTGGGCTCTTTCCCCACTCCTCCACCAAGCAGCCAGCTCCTCCTTGGCACAGGGCCCCCGCTGGCAGAGGGAAGCTGGGTACCAGGCGCAACCCCTGCCCCCTGCGTGGCCCTGCTGGTGTGTTTCTGCTGTGAATCAGGGGAGCAGGGTAGTGCTGGGCTCAGGAGAGGGCCAGGGATGTGTTTCTGCCATGCCTTGCTGTCTCCTGGGATGACATTTCTATTTTTCACAATCACACGCACATTATATATATTATATTATATATATATATTATACACGCTGACTTTTTTTTTTTTCAATCTTAATTTATTGTCTGTACTTTTGAATGTGTCCCGGGTTTGTGCAGTAGGTGGAGGAGCAGCCCAGACCTGTCCTCTCTTGGAGAGTCCTTTTCTCTCGCAGGGAGATGGGACACTCATCTGGGACTGATTCTCTTCTTCCAGCGTGGGTGCAGCTGTGCATGTCCTTGTGGCCTTGCTCCATGGTGAAGGACATGAGTGAATCCCACTATCTTGTGGACACTTCTCTGGGTCTCTTTATTCCCCCTTTCGTGGATGCAGCCTTGTTTCGTGCGCCTTCTTCCTTGCAGAAAGCAGGTGGGAGAGTGGGAATGAAGGGCCTGGTTTGCCTTTGCTTGGACGTACTCAACACCACAGAGCAGCTCTTGGGAGTTTCCTGCTGCGATGTCTGTGCTCTGAATACAGGAGGCAACTTGCTTAGGGGAGAGAAGGTCCTCTGGAGGGTGGTCTCTGTGAGAACTTGACTTCATGTGCTCTGCATCCCTTCCCGCAAGAGCCCTCCCTGGTTCTACTGCAGGAGATGGGCCCCAAACTGAAATGTCCATGTTAAACACCTGACTTGCGCTACGTGAATTCCCTGCATTGTGTCTGATGTGAAACAGCCTTAGCAGCGATGTCTGATTCCAGTCCTCGGAGACCATACAGAAAACGTCTGTTCCAGAGAAAACTCTGGGTTGGGGTTTATTCTTTTTTTTTTTTTTTTAATGATTTGTTTTTATGCTTTTAGCAGTGTTACTCCTTAAAATGACATCTGTCTTTTGTGAGGGCAGGGTCTGTCTGCTCTTCTAGCTGTGCTTCCACACCAACGTACCTGCCTGCCCCAGTCTGTCCTTTCCTCACAATTAAATGCGAGTATGGGCTATGCTGGAGTTTCCTTCCTCTTCCTTGCGCAGTGCTGCTCTGTGTGGGGAGGTGGGGGACTGTGCCAGTTTGGGAACTGCCACTCCAGAGCATGACCTCCCTGTGCAGACTTTAGCTCCTCTCGGAGCAGGGGGAAGCAAGCTCCTTCCAGCTGGGTTTGATGACTGTGTGAAAACAACCTGTTGATGAGACCCTCCCCAGACCCCTCCACTGACTCCCCATTCCCCCTTTCTCCCGGTCCTGTTAGTGTTGCCCATCCCAGTTTGTCCTGGCCCAGTTCTCCCTGTTTACCCTGGCACATCTGGCTCCTCTGCCCCCCTCCTGTTCCTTCTTTCCTCTTCCTGCTGCTTTAGCACGCTTAACCTCCCAGCTCATTTCTGTCCTTGAAACGAGTACTTTTTGGTACCCATTCTCCTTCCCTCACTGCCAGAAACATTTTTTAGACCCTCAGCATCCAGCCCTGGGGCCAGGAGAAACCGGCCCCTTCATGGTATGCAGGTACCAAACAGAAATGTCTTGTGTGACCGTGGATGACATGTATTGCCTGGCGAGCACTGTGGGAAAAGTGCTGGAAATTTGCTTCCGTTATATACCAGATGCACCTTCAGGCATGCTCAAACTGATGGTTTCTCCAGCATCTCAAATGAAAATTAAAGCTTTTAGCTTATTCGATCCCCTGAACACAGTGACCCTGGGAAGGCCCAGCTTGGAGCTGCATCTGGCCTCCGCAGCCAGCTCCAGGAGGGGACTGGGACGGGCGAGTGCGGGGTGGCAGAGCACTGTGGTCCAACGCTGCTCCTGGAAGGGTGCACCTCCTGGCACAGCGGGTGCAGGGTGTGCAGCGATGGCTGCCACCTCTGCAGATGCTCCGGTCCCACTTTTGGATGCTGTTCCACTCGCAGCCACCGGTGGAGGGCGGGCTGGGCTTGGCAAACATCTCGCCTGAGGGGGGGACCTCTTGAGGGGCTCCTCTGGGGTCTCACAGCCTCCCTCCCCATGGGGGTTCAGAGCCCTGGGAAGCAGTGAGGGGGCACGGGGTGCTGGGAGCAGGGATGTTACCCACGCAGGTGACAGGTCAGACCCTGGCTGAGGTGGAGAGGAACTTTGGGGTATAGACGATGGTGCTGGGTGTGAGGCAGCAATCCCAGGTGCTGGTGTTTCCCTCCACTCTGGCTCCTGACCGGAGTGTGTGCTGGCGGAGATTTTGGCAGCATTGAGGTCACCCTGTTGTGCCAGGTGGGTGGTGGGCTGCGACCCAAACCACCCAGCCTCACCCAGCCCTCTGCTAAAGGGAATGGGGGAAAGCTCAGCCTCCCAGGGGTCGGCCCTGGATGTCGTTGTCTGGGGATGATGGATGGTTTGAAGTGATACAGGAGGAGATGGGAGTGCTGCCCTGCACACAAAGCCGCTCTGGAGGGAGAGGGGCCATGGGGCAAGGCTCGGCGCTGTGTTTCTGTCTGTCTGAGAGCAGGTTAGGCAAAAAAAAGCCAAGCATTTCTGCATTCAGGGCACTGCCTGTTAAACGCAGATGCAAATAGCTTTAGAAGCTTAGGACTTCTAAAGTACGGCTGTTATTTATTTGCAAGTAAGCCCATCCAAGTAGAAACCAGCTTGTATTGTTGGGTTTTGGAGGTGGATGGGGGATTATAGGCACAGCCGAGGCCCGTGCAAGGAGCAGGGTTTAGTCCTTGCTGGTGCCAACACAACCCAGGGGCTGGGACCTGGCCGGAGCGTAGCAGGGAGCTCACCCTGAGCCCTGCGTTCCCGGCCAGCTGTGAGGGGCAGGAAGGTCGGAGTTGCAGGGTATGAGCAGGAGGAGCAGGATGGGGCCACCCCAAGCTGAGAGCTCCTGTTCCGGGGAGATGGGGGTGCTGAATGACTGGGAAACAGCTCAACAAACCTTGCGGGGGGGCTCTGATACACAGGCCTTCGACAGAGCTCGGTGGTACCAATGGAGTGCGGTGCTGCGCCAGAGGGCTGGGGCGTGCACGTACCACTTACGCACGCCTCCGTGCTGGATTTCCCAGGGAGAGGGGAGCCCCGTGAAGGTGTGTTCGTAGCTGTGAGTTATGCTGTAAGGAAACACCGTGCCTGGAGATGCTGACGGCACTGCAGCGCTGGTGGGGTTAAAAGTATCTGCTCTGGTCCCCACTGGAGATCTGGTGGCTGGGGACAATTCACCTTTTTTGGCTGTGTTTGTCCTTACTAAGGAGGGTTGTGTCACATGAGGCAATGTTTCAAGGTTCCCTGCAACACTCAGCTGCACCAATTAGAGGTTTTTCTGCTGGCTATCAGCTTTGGGTTGAAATCCTGGGGCCTTTTTAAAGTCCCAGCTCTTCTGGAAAAATGAAGCCGAGGTGCCAGGGTCCCTGAAGCTCTCAGCCCAGGAATACAGGTGCGAGTGTGGTACCGAGCCCGGGATCAGTGCTGGGACAAAAGGCTCCCAGCAGAGAGGTGTTTGGAAAGAAGCTGTCAGTGGTCAATCATAGTCTGATTTTTTTTATTATTATTTCTTTTTATTTGTGCAATTTTAAGGGAGAAGCTAACTGAATCCTTTTTCTATGATTAGAGACACTTTGCACTTATCTCTCTCTTTTGATCAATAAGCTAAAGTCTGGCTCAACAGCTGTATGTAGATAAAAGTACTATATCTAAAGTATGAGGTATTATTCTTTTTTAATTAAATACTTAAAAAGCTGTTTGCATGAGGTTAAGAAAACATTAAAATCCTTTCCTACGTTATTATTAGCTTATTAATTTAAGCAAAGACAAAGATCTTTACAAACCAAATGTACTTTTCACCATGGAGATGACTGCTTCTCCCAGACCCTGCATCCTGGACAGTGACAATAATATCAATAAAAATAATGTTGTGACTTTTTCTCCAATCAGCATCTCTTTCCAGCTTTAGGTCCAGCTCAGCCAGGCCATGCTTGGTGTGCAAAACTGGAGAGTATTTCAGCCTAAATGCAGGTGGGGGCTTTGCAAGCTGCTCAGGACTTTCCTGGGTGAAATTAATTTCTGCTGCTGAGAAAGCCTTTGACAGTCTTTAATGCCGCATCTCTCCAGCTACCTCCTGCCACTCTTGGCGTGCTGGAGCCTTCCCAAACAATGACAGCCACCCGCTCCTCCGCACGCTGGCGAGCTAGCTTTGCCTTTAAACGGCGGCGACAGGGAAATATTCTGGGCTAAAGAAGGGCCTATCCTTTGGTGCACTCTTTAGAAATGGAAATACGCGATTCCCCTGAGTGGTTCCAGTGTAACCAGGAGCAGGGCCAGGGACAGCTTCTCCCCCTCCAGTTTGAAGGGGTTGTGTTGCAGGGGATTCCACCAAAATGATGGTCTGCGGAAAGCGCCTGCGTCTCGTCATCCTGGGTGCGGCAGGGAAGGGACAGCAGCTTTCCTCCTTAAAGCAGAAAGGCTTCACTAGGGAAGCAAATGTCTTTAGCGCCGTTTGCTGCTCAGCTCCTGAGCAGCACGGGATGGCCGGGCTCTGCCGCAGGGTGAGACTCGGGGAGCAGGGGACGGGTCCTGCTCTGCTCTTTTCGAGCCTGGCTTGTTTCAGTGGTAAATCCCACCTTCCAAAATAACCTGCAGTTTCACCTTCTTTTCTCTTGGTTAATTAAAAATGCCACCCATAGGCACAAATAATGCCAGGCCAGGCTCTAGGAGCGCTTTGGGCGGTTGGAGCCATGCAAGACCCAGAATCGCAGGCAATGGTGAATCTGTCTGAGGCCGGGACATCCCCCTGCTCAGGATCTCAGATCTCTCCAGATCCCTTGCTAAATGATCCCAGGCTTGTGAAGTGGGATACAACCCCTGCTATGCCATGTTCCCCCTCCTGGCTATGGCCCTGACTTCCTCCAGGGTGCTGAGCGGCCTTCCTCATGGACGACAGCATCTCACCAGCGTGAGCAGGAGTCAGGGTCTGATCCTGCCCTGGAGGTGACAGCTCCCACGACCGCACGGGGTCCTGCACACCCCCAGCACTGTGCCAAGGGGGGCCGAGGAAGCGAGGACAGCCAGAGCCTCCCTCCTCACCTCCGGCCATCCAAGTGGCCTCCGGCTCGGCTGCAGGAAGAGGCTAACAGCGGCGGGCGAGCCACCTCCTCGGCTTTGAGTATCACTTTCAGCTATTCTGAAGGTTAAACGCCTGTTTAGAGCTCCCTATTGAAGGTAGAGCCGGGGGTGCGGCATTGTTCGGCCGCCCTCCCGCTTTGTCTGGCCGCTTTCAGGGATGCCCTGAATGGGAAGCGGCCTCCCCAGCCCAGCACCCCGGCAGAAGGGCTCCTGGGGGAGAGGCGCTTCCTCCCGCCCTAATGACATTCAGGCCTCCATCGGTTCAGCTCCCGCTTTCTTTCTGCTGCAGTTTAACCCGGGCACAGAGGCCGGGCTCCATCTTACTGATCTCTGCTTGACACCCAATTACCACATGAATGGGAGAGAAAGGCTGCAAAAGGCTTTAACTCCCACTGACCCTCCTTCCCCTCTGCCTGCTTCCCCCTCTCCCCGTCCTACCCCCTCGCCTTTCTCCGACGGAGGGAGTTCAAAACTGAGACGGGGAAATCAAACAAAGCCCCGAGTAAGGAAACCCATTGTCACCGCCTCTGCGATGGCTCCCCTTTCGCCAGCTATTGTTCCCCTTGAAGTTTGACTTGCTGTGTGGAAGGATGCGAGCAGCTGTTCGTGCATTCCCCTGATGTTTTATTGAAAAATAATTGAATCGTCAGTTCGGGGCTCTCTGATAAAATGTTTCCTCGTAGCGCTGGGCCCCGCCGTGTTTATAAACTACGCTTCCCTGTAAAACGTGATGGCGACCTAGACCGTTTGGTCCAGAATAAACCCTCGGTGCAGGGACGGAGACATGGCCCTTCTGCGCTCAAGGGAAGAGCATGCAAACAGCGGGGGGGGGTGGGGGGGGAAGACAGGACTGAGACAAAAGAAATTAAACCCGCCAGGCTCAATTTCCAACCTGTTCTTTTGGGGGGGGTAAGACAGGATTGAGACAAAAGAAATTAAACCCGCCAGGCTCAATTTCCAACCTGTTCTTTTGTTTGGCGCAGTTGACTTTGCGGGAGGGGAGAGGCGGGTGCAGCCGGAGCACCCTGGTCGTCTGCCTTGTGCCCCACAAAACTGGGGTGAGCAGCACAGCTACCTGGGGACACGGTCCTACACTTGGGACCGAGTGAGGGACCTGCCACGGAAAACTGGGTATAAAAAGAGAAGTTTAGCTGAAGTAAAGCACAGTGACACATCCCTGGGTTTGAACAAGAAGACTGTGTTACAGCCAACTGAACCTGGGGTACATGTTCAAGGCAGGAGCCTTGTCTTTATCTCATTTTCCTTTATGTACCTGTTTATCAAATACCATCGATGTTTACAGCACTTTAGAAATAACAATGTCAGCATTACACTTTCTCGAGGAGATTACATTCCCCATCCCCAAGCATATGCCAGAGAATTTGTGATGCTCTGATTTCAGCACCCAGCATGGAGACAAGACTCGCTCCTCTCCCAAGCACACCATGTCCATAAAAACGTCCCCCATATCTCATGTGCTCGCTGACTCTATTTCCAGGGCAATTGTTAACAGTAACCAGGTTTGAATGCTTGAATGAGCCAAATTGCTATTTATGATTACTATTCTCTTTCTTTTTAAATTATTTTTGCTTTTCTGGGGAAGTACTAACACTAAATCTGTAATATTTTGTTGTATTTCTATAACTCAGGAATCAAGATTCTTTTAGGAGCCAGTTCTCCTATTATTTGGCCTCATAAATGATTTCTGGAAGCAAGAAGAATAGGTCATATAAAACCATAACTGCAAACACTGATCTGGAGTCCAGATTACCAGATCCTTTGTATACAGAGTGCTTCAGTCATTTCTGAAGTGTATAGAAGTAAGATTTTTGTCTAAGGCTTCTTCCCTCAGCCGGTTTCCCGTACAATCAGTTCAACATCCTGGGCCGTATCTCTGAAATACCCAAAAGCTCCGTGATTTAGCAATATTTAAAACCCAGCTGGAATTTTTGGATGAAGACCACGGTCAACAGCTTCATGTCTCTGCCATCACGTAACCCCGGCAGCGACGGCAGCGTTCATCTGCGCTGGGGACTGGCCTTTCCTGGGGCCCAGCCCGAAGAATGATCTCCTCTGAGAACAAAAGGCCATTACAAACACCACCACCTTCTGCTCTCAGGGTTAGGCATACTCTGACCCCCGTTAGCATAAACGAGGAGGCATCTGTCTGCGTAAATTTATGCCCCTTACACATAATGCACTATGTATATGTGTATATATTACATTTCTATGTGCATGTGTGCATGCATACATGTCTTTTTCAAATCCAAACCCTCCACTGAGTGGAGGCAGGGTTAAGGGGCTGCAGTTTTTCCACCAGCGCTGCCCAGTGCGGCTCCATGTTGTGGGGGAGAGGAGCCCGCGCCATTGCACAGCCCAGCTGTCACCGCCATGGCTGCATCCCGCTCGCATACATGCTTCTCCCTCTGGGGATAGGAGGAGAAAACAAACAGGCGACAGATGTGATCCGCGTTGTTTAATGCAGTGCTGGAAGGTGCCCGATGCCGCGGAGATGTGCTCGCTGGGAGAGGTGGCCCTGAGCAGAAGGGGATGCTGAACTGCTGCCTTGTCTGATGTGCAGAAGAACATCTCCCATGGTGGTGACAGAAACAGTCATTAGTCTCACCCGGCCTTGCCGTTTCTGCTTCCTCACTAAAAATTCAAATTAACTGGGAGGCAGCGTGTTGGCTTCGCTGCTGGGAAACCTCTGCTGCGGCTCCTTGCCTTTGCACAGCTGAAGCATTCTCAACATGTGAAAAAGGGCTCTGTGCATAGTAAGGTGTGAACTTAATGCAGAAATAGGTATTTTAAAATAACATCGCCTGGCCTAAGAGCCTAGTGCACACCCCTGGAGGAACGGGCCTCCCTTCCAGCAGCCCCGAACTGAGCGTGCACCCGACCGCTGGGCCCCGGCGCTGGGGAAGCTCTGCTGAGGGCTCTCCCTAGGCCAGGCCAACCCGCTCGGCCCGCGGCCCTCCCGCACCAACACCGCCC